TTTGAAATTTTACTTCAACTTAATAGCAAATTATATTCCACATGCTTATACTTATATTCTGCATCTGTAAATTATTTTTAATTTTATTCTTAGATCATTATTCTTCATTATAACATCTTTGTTAAATTCTATGGCTAAAGGGATTCATTGGTATAGCTAGGCAATCAGACAGATAGTGAGAAGAGCTTTCTTTTTTAATTTTAAAGAGATTAAAAAATTAAAAAAACATTAAAAATGATACAGAATTTCAAAACAAGATGAGAGGAAATCCACAATGGTTGTTATATTGCATATTGTTATCTTCAGCTTTCTTTGTCATTTCTAGCTTGGAAAATAATGGCAGAAAGTCATGGTTGGTCTTGCATAAGTCACTTGATACTCTTGCATCAGTATCTGTGGGGTGATATAATTGGCAACACTACAGTTACCTATCCCTAAGGTCAGCATGTTTTCTGAGACTAGAAAATGGCAAGACGAGTACCTACTCTTACTTACTTATGGGCCGTGTATTATGTCCCAATTTTTGACAACGCTTGGATTTTTGTCTCGTCTCAGTAACAATTAGCAACTGCTTTACAGGCTGCAGGGGGTAATCTGAGAGTCATAGAATGCAGGGGATTTCCTTCTTTCCATTAACACTAGTAGACTACATTATCTTTCCTCAGTTCCGAGTGAAAAATGGCTAAGTTAGTAATACTGTGTGTAAATTTGTGTGTCTATAAGTCTGTTTTAAAGAATTAGCTATATAATTAAATCTTCAGAGTAATGCATTTATTGGCTTATATTATCATTGTATATTTGGTTACCTTAAACTGTGAATGTTACAATGATAGGATAACTTCTAATTTCTAAAATAAACATTTCAATGGCTTTTCCATTGTTCAATCCCAAACTTAAATTATGACCTTCTAATTAAACATCTCCCCCAAAATATGTTTTACTTTTTGTAGTAATTCACGTGATAGCTGTTTCACACACATGGTAGTTGGTTGTATCTGTTCGGGCCACATTTGAATTATGGCTGCCAGCCGTGTCTGATTTTTTTGTATTTTGAGAGTTTGTTTATTTTGTATTGATTGACATGTTATATTGTAAATATTTTTTTTAAAAAAGTATTTTATAGAGTTTCAGATTTACAAGCAAATTGTGCAGAAAGCATAGAGATTTCCCACATGTTCCCTGCCCTCCCCTCTCACACGTGTCTTCCTGCTCTGAATGAAAGTCCTGCACGAGAATGGAGCCTTTGTTACTGACAGTAAACCTACACTGACACATTAGTATCACTTGAAGTCCGTGGTTTGCGTTAAGGTCCGCTTTTGTTGTCGTAGCTTCTATTTTTTTAAAATGTAAATGATGTGTGTCCAGTATTGTAGTGTCATACAGAGTGGTTTTTCTGTCCTAAAATCCTTCATGCTCCACCTTTTCATTCTTTCCCTCTTTGACTCTGGCAACCACTGATCCTTTTACTGTAGTTTTTCCTTTTCTACAGTGTCATATGTTTGGAATCTCATAGTATGTAGCTTTCTCAGATTGACTTCTGTCGCTTAGTAGTGTGCATTTAAGTTTCCTTTATGTCTTTTCATGGCATGGTAGCTCACTTCTTCATAATGCTGGATAACAATGAGTCATTACCTGGTTGTACCACAGTTTACCCATCCACCTACTGAAGGGCATCTTGGTTGGTCAGTTGCCAAGCTTTAGTACTTTTGCATCAAGTGTCACCGTGTAAGTATCCATGTGGAGGTTTTTGTGTAGACGAGAGTACTCAGGACTTTTAGATAGGTATCAAGGAAGGCAGTTGCTGGCTTCTGTGGTAAGGGTACATTTAGCTTTATAGGAAACTGTTAAATTGTCTTCCAAAAACACCATTTTGCATTCCCACCAGCAGTGAATGGGAATTCCTGTTTCTCCACATCCTCGCCAGCACTTGGTGATGTTAGTGTTTTCCATTTTAACCATTCTAATAGATGTATAACAATATTTCCTTTTACTTTGCATTCCTTCAATGACATATGTGCTCCTTTGTTTATATTTATCCACGTAATTAAAAGACATCTATTGAGCACTTGTTGTATGCATATACATAAATATCCAATAGATTCTTTTATAAAGTAAATTATATTTTTGTACTTTATTATTCCAAACACTGGGTTGGAACAACAAATGGTGGATTTCTTTCAGATATGTACTAGTAATTTTTACAGGAGGTTCTTTTAAAAATATGTATCTTTTATATGTTATGGTTTAATATCCTTATATTTATCTCTATTTGTAGGTTTATAATCAGATACATATAAGATATATTAGATTTAAGGAAGTATTATTTACAATATAGGAGACGGTAAATAAAATATACATTAGAATTTAGTAGGAAGGCCTGTACTTGAATAATTTCTTTTGTTAATAAACATTTGCCCGGTTGGTCAGTTTGTCTGTCTGTCTGTCTGTGTCTGTCTCTCTTTCTGTAGTACTGGGGATCATACCCACAGATCACTAAGTCCCCAGACACTTTTATTTATTAGTGTGACAGTTTCACGCTTAGTTGGCCAGGTGGGACTAGAACTTGCAATCCTTTGGCCTCAGCCTCCCAAACTACTTGGATTATAGGCATGTGTCTGCACACCTGACTGCCAAGTCACTTTTTGAAAAAGCACAAATAATGTAACCTTATTTTAGAAAATTTGCCAAAAGATATATATATATAATATATATTATATATATAACAAAAATCACCACAACCTAAAAGCTGTAACACTAATGAAAATTTTAGCATCCATTCTCAGTTGGTTTTTGTAGGTATATATAACCATATTTTTGTATAAGCATATTCCTCCTCTTTCCACAAAGTGGGCTATGCTATATATTGTTCTTTGAATATGACTCATGCTAGACTTTCTGGAGGACAATTTTTATTAATTTTTTAAGACGACTGAGCAGTGCAGGTGAACAGTTTACCTCGGTTTGGTGGTGAGTTTGCTAGCTTTTTCCTTTTCCTGTTTGGTAATGTGAGTTATAGACCGTGGACCCAGAACTTTGCCTGTCCGGTGATGGTGGGCCCCAGCACGTCTTACCACTGTGATTAGCTCTGATAGTTTCCGTCATCTTAGCTAGAGCCCTTGCCTCCCAGGTAGGACTGAGGACAGTGGTGGTTCGTGTCTTCCTGTGGAGTAGCTGTCCACCCTAGCCTTCCTCTTGATGATGCAGTAGGAAACTCCATTTGAGTGACACAGGGCAGGCGAGATGACAGCCAGCTAGACAGAAGTATGATAGACTTTGAATGTTCGTGTCCTATCAGTGTTCCCCATTATAAATGATCTTTTAATGAATATTCTTATTTTGTATCTAGGAACTCATATATGGTCTTATGCATAAAGTTCTAGAAGTAAAATTTTTTAGTGTAAGGGTGTGTAGAATTTTAAGAGGCATGTAATGTTCTCTTCAGAAATAATTGCATCAGTTTTATTATCACCAGCAATATGTTAGTTTTATTCTCTGGCTATCATTAATACTAGGTATTTCTTGAAGTACTTGGCTTTAAGATTTTTAAAACATTCTCCATCTTTTTTTAGCTAGAAAATGTATTTGTGCTCTTTGAAACAATCAAATAATACATACATATGTACAAAGAAACAAATCTTTTACCCCCCTTGCAATTTAATCTATCCCTTTCCAAAGGTTATATAATTAGTATCAAAATTTTAGGTTATCCTTTATGAATTTATCTGTTCTCCTAGCATTACACATAGTGTGTGTTAATATTTTCATATGTATGGCTTTTAGGTTATGTTTTTTAAAATCTGCTTTATGTTAATGTGAGTAGTTTCTTTATATTTTTCTTCCATTTCACTTACATCTTATTAACTTTTTCTTTATGTGAGTTTAGTTTCAACAAGTATATTTTTTTCCAGAAATTCTTCCTTCTTTCTTCCATCTGCCCTTTTCAGAAGTATTGTTTACTTCTAGGGTGTGTGATTCCTTTCTCAAGGTCTTAACTAATCTGTTCAGTCTCTTGCAGACTGTACTGTCATTTGAAGTTCTTGGCGTTTTATTCTCCCCACTTGGTGTGTCTAATGATGCTTACTCGTAGTAGGTTATTTTCTCATGTTGGTAATTTTGTACTGTGAATTTCATTAATGCTTTATACATTGATGTTTGCGATCTAGGTTAGGGGCCCAGCTTTGCAGAGCAGGTTTGCCTAGATTCTTGCGGTATAGCCCGTGGAATCAATGTTAATTCTGTTGCTTGGAGACTCCTTGGGAGTCTCACTGTTAAATGTACACTGTTAAATGTATACTTTAATACTGTGCTTAAGCACAGCATAATCTATTTCTTAGTTCTGCTTTGTTCCAACTGTAGCATGTTGGGTTATCGTGTAGTTTCTTCTGTGTTATCTAATCTCAATCAGTTACTCATGTTTTAGCTTTGTTGCTTTTTTGTAAGTAATAACACTTTGATGTATGTATCCGTTGGGCTTAGTTGGTAAGACTTCTAAGAAAGTGAATTCAGTAGTTTCCTATTTAATTTAGGAATGCTAGTAAATATCTAGAAAACAGAAAATATTGCAGCTATGATAACCTGTCTGTTTACATCCACACAATGACAAATTGAAGTTTGCTAATGCATGAAGTCGATCTGATTAATAATAACTGATTGAAGCCTCATAGTTGGATGTTGTCTGGCTGAGTGTGCATGTTTTGGTTTTTAGTGAAATACACAGGCAAGAGTTGAGGTAAACCTGTTTTGCAGAGTTAGTCCCCTAACCTAGATCTCAAACACATCATCTTTAGTACTTTCTCTAAAAATTTTTTCACTTTTTCTCCTCCATCCTCAGTTTAGAAGTGTTTGTTTTATTAGATGCTGTCTGAATGGCCATTTCTTATGCTGATGAAAGTAGGCTATTTGAAGACAGCATACAGATTTTTTTGAGCCAAGGTTTAGACTATGCTTTTCCAAAGACATAAATTTAGAAAATGCATATTAACATCTATTATTCTTTGCAGGCGGACCAGTTGATGTTTGCTTTGCATTTTGTTCGAGGCATGCATCCTCAACTTTTTCAAGAAAATGTAAGTTGAATTGAAGGAAGAAAATTCTAGAGTTATATAGAAATTTGATAATGGTTATATTTTTAGTTAGATTAAAAGTTACTTTAGGCTGTAAATTATATATAACCTATTAATCTCTTTCTAAGGTAGAAATTTTATAAAATGCCGTTTTCCAGTTCTATTTCACTCTTGGTGAACTCCGCATTTCAGAGTGATACTGAAGAGGAAAGACATCTACATAACTTATCAACCTGCCTAAATTTATGTAAGCTTAGGTCCCTCGCTTGATATACTGAGTCAGCCTTTTTCTTTTCCTGGCTTAAGTAGTGGAACTGAAAAATAGAAAAAGTGGAACAATATGGGTATTCAACTTCATTATTCATTCTCTGACTTGTCCGGAATCAGTACTTGCAGCAAGACGGTGGCTAGTTCTCTGGGACTTCCTGGAACTGACCACTTCATGTATAATTTATCTTCTTTGTCTATGATCTCATATTTGATCCGCCATCTAACTACTCAAACTTGAGAAGAACCTCCCTTGAGCTGAATTCATCTCTGCTCTGCTTCTAATTCAAATATTCCTGAGTATTTTTTTCTCATTATTGTGCAAGTATCATAACGTAAGAGTTTGGTAGCCAGGATGCAAGTGCAGTGCAGCTTTGACCTAGTAGCCTTTAATGCTCCTTGGCTAGATTTGAGCTGTCTTCTGCATTTCTGTCAGTCAGACAGTTAAAGGAAGGCAGACCACTTGGAGTTCTGCCTGTGTTCTCTCTTTGTTTTTCTCCAACTCCTTTTGGTGTGGTTCACTTGTAGAGTTTTTCCTGAATTTATTAATTTGATTCCTTTTAATTCTGTTAACTTTCATGTCTTTCCCTTCTCCTATATAATTCTTTCCACCCTGGTCAATATGTTTCATGTAATATAAGACCTTATGTTCCCTATTTCTTGGTCCTAGGATATAAACTCTCACTAGGGAAGGAAATCATTTTTCTCATAAATTTTACTAGTTATCCATTTTAATTATATGTGGCTTCATAATTATAATAGAAAGAATAAGAGGGAGGGCAGGAAGCATATTACTTTGGTAGTTTTTCCACATTACTCTTAAATTTTCATATATTTTATTTGTTGGTTAGTGAATGACAAATAGCATGGTGGTATCCGTTGTTATCTAACTTGGGGGAATCCCAGGAGAAGACATAAATTTCTGAGAGCACTAGGTTTCGTGACACTTGGTCATTCTTGATTCTGTGTTTAAAAAAAGATTAGTGGCAAACTTATCCCATTCTATAAAGAAAGATAAGTTAATGGAAGTATGTTTTTTTTTAAATCTTAACCAACGTACACAATTTTTAAATTGTTATGTACCTTACTGGTTGTCTATTAGGAATATCATATAAAAGAACAAATTAACAGGTAGGAAGAAATATTAATTGAATTAGACATTTTAAATTTTAGATATTAAAATTAACATATATAGTGTAGTTGTATATAATTTAAAAATGTGATTAGTTTAGTATAGTACATGTTTGTGATACATAATGAATACATTGACCGTGGGGACTTGGTGTTATGTACATGTTGTATTTTAACTTTTCACTTCCCTTTTTTCTCCTTCCCTTGCTTCCCTTTCTCGTTGTCCCTCGATCCTCTTCCCATCTGGAATGGTCACCTCTCTACTTCCTGTCATCTGTCTTTCATTTATTCTTTAGGTCATTTTTGTCTTAGAGTTCTCAGAGGAATCATCCTATATTTAAGTTTTTATGTCTGTTTATTCCACCTAACATTATAGTTTTAGGGTACATTCAGTTTCCCATAAGTGACTATTTTTTATTTTTGTAAAATTATTCCTCGTAGTTTTCATGAATACTTTATACTGGTACTTGATCTCATTCTTACAATGTTAAAGATGTGAAAGTAATTTTCCCCCTGTGTTGTTAGAAAGCTGCATTATAAGCCATCTTATAAGATACTTTAAAATAACAACTTCATTATTATGTTCATATTTTTTGTGTTCCTCATATTTTTATTTGATAGGAATGGGATACATTTACAGGTGTGATTGTTGGAGATACCTTGCGGAAAGCTGTAAGTTAAAATAAAATGTTATTATTTCACTCAGAGAAAATAGTCCTAGTTTGGCTTCATGAAATATAACTTGCTTCAGATGAGTTTTAAATTATTATTTAAATTATACTGTAACTAGAGAAATATGTCCTGGCCTCTCCTACCCTCCCATAAAGTGAATTGAAAATGTTTAATGATGTTGAAGACCTACGTTCTTTTGCGAATAATATTAAATGCCAGGAGATTAATATAGTTAATTTTTCTCTGTATATGTATTTTGCTCCAAGAAAAATTTTTTAATCTTTAGGAAAAAAAAGTCAAACATTGCTTAATAACTTGGAAGAGTTGTATAAAATTTAAGTTTAAAAAATACTTTCCAAAACTTTTTTTTGGTTTTTTGGTTTTTCTCCGGTACCGGGAACCGAACTCACGACCTTGCGCTTGCCAGGCAGGCGCTTTGCAGCTGAGCTAAATCCCCAGCCCCCCAAAACTTTTTGATAACTTTATTCAAATTCAACTTTTTAGTACTTTTATTTGAATAAATAAATGGATATTATTCTTGAACCAGTGGACTGAAAATATACCACAGAACCTCAATCATATCTGAAATACAGAATATAATTAAAAATAATATGTTTTATGAGAATTTCTTGTGACATTTAAATTTATATGAAGCTTTGTGAAAGATTATGTACAATAAAAGTGAATTCATCATTTGTCTAAGTGATTCTCTCAATACATTATGTTACACGGTAACTTGTAAAATATAAAGAAATAGTGCATACAATGGATATTTTTTCAAAATAGTGTTCATAACAATAGCTAGTTGATTGCTGTGTTTATATCTTATCACGTATATTCAGGAAAATAATTGCTTTTCTTAAAGGAGTCTCAGCAGAGAATACGTGATCAGACCCCGTCGTGGGTCGGTCAGGAACGAAGCTGGGCAGTGGCAACATTAAAGGTACCCTTCTCCTGCGGGAGGGAATTTTAATTTTCTTATGTAATTTAGTGATTTCTGCTGGCATTTTTATGTGCTGTTTATTCATACTCCTCTAATATTTCTGTGAATAGGTTAAAATCCCTCAATTAAGACACACCAAAGAATTATTACAATAATCTTTAATCAAAATTTAATTTAAATCTTGTATTCACAAAATAGGATGCGTTTAATATATAGGTCTTCCAAATATAGAATCCGCCTTTCCATGCCCCCGCCTCCCAGCCATTCTGTGTTTTCTTTCTCACTCAGGCCAAAGTGGTATTTTTATGGGAAATGACCGACAAATACACTTCTCAATTCCATTTCTTTCTCTGTCTATTCCTTTCTCCCCTTATTTCTCCTGCTTTTTTTCCCACATTATTATAGTTACGTCAGTCCGTGGTACGAACATTAAATTTAGCTAGCAGTTAGAGATAGCTTAGTATATTCAAGCCGCTATGCAAAATTTATAGATTTCCAGTACTTGAAGTGTTTCCAATAACATTAGGAGGTAGTATTCTTGTCTTTATTTCAGCTGAGGAGCATTTGCATATAATCACTTAGGAAGTGGAGGCAGCGTTCAAAATTGGGCACCTTGGAGCATAATCTGGACTCTTTTACTAGTACAGTATATATTCTTTTCGTAAATATTTATTGAATGAAATAAATGGATTCTGCTTTATATCAGTCATTGTTTTCTTCATTAATCATTTATTTGGTGCTTACTGCCAGCTAGCATTGTACTAGTGACAAAGAGTCTTTGCTTGACCAAACTGTGGTCAATGTCCTGGGCCATGGTCTAGGCCCGTCCCTGTATGTGTATGTGTATATCCATGTATGTGCATCTAGTTTTAGCAGGAACGCTGCCACTTGGTTTAATCAGAATTTTCCCATTTTCTGTGTCTAATCAACCATGGTATCTGATTGACTTCCTTAGCTTCCATCCTCCCCCAGGTGTTTCTGACCAGTTCAACGTGCCTTTGAGAATACTATTTAGTAGGTTTAACCAGTGTCCTCCATTATGGGAATGTTTTCTCTTGATAATTTTCTAAAGGCCGATCCCTACCTGTTCCTTGGCTATAAATTCCCATTCGCCCACATAGTATTGAACTTGGATACTGGCAGCTCTTTTTCCCTATTGCGGTAGTCTCGAATAAAATGTGTGTTTACTGCTTAGCTACTGTTCAGCTCCGTTTTTTCTCCAACACCAGTGCAACAGCAAATGTGCATTTTATATACAAAGAGACTCCGCCAAGAACAAACCCGCACTTCAGAGCGTATCACAGAATTGCCTACTGATATGGCTGGCATTGTGTAAGAACCATGACATATTTTTGTAGTTTAATTGTGGCAATCTCTAAAATGTATACTGATTTTCATGGTAGGATTTCTTTCTTCTACAAGGTGGAAATAGCTGGGTGCAAGCATTTTTATGTAGAGAAAAATTTCTTAACTTAGGAGTACTGATTTAATGCTACTTTGGGAAGTTTTATTTAATCCTGGCTTTAACATGAAATACTGTACTGTTTCTGATCTAGAAAACATTAGATAAGCCAACAGAAAGTGAAACAAAAAGTATTAATAGTTAGTCTTCCTTTGCTTTTTCAGTTTTTTTTCAAAATACATGCATGTACATTATTTACTTGTAGCTCATTATATGTTGTTACTTTTGTTTTTTAGATTGCTCTGCCAAGTCTTTATCAGACCCTCTGCTTTGAAGATGTAGCTCTGTGGCGTCCTTACTACCATAGTTCAATGTGTGAACAAGAGTTTCCATCCGTTCTTGCAAAGAAAGTTTCCTTATTTCAGCAGGTAAAGTTAATGTTTCCAAATGCAAAAAAAACATTTAATGTTTCTCATCATTCAGAAGTCATTTAAAGAAAGTTTTGCTTTTAGATTATTATGTAACCTTTAAGGCCACGTGAGAGGAAGCATGTTACCATGCTTTTACCATGTTATCCAGAAAAATCACTGGCCAAATTCCTCAGTAACTTATCTCCAATTGTAGTTTTTCTAATCCTCTGCTTGTGATCCATGCAAATCTTACAGATATCTTATGGATATGTCTTGTAGAAAGAAAGATACAGATTATATAGGTTCTTCACTCATTTTCCAGAGCTTTATCTAGGGAAAAGACTTTGGTGAGGAAAGAATACAAAATAGAATGAAGAAGTGTACTGGGAAGTTGAACTCAGTATTTCGGCTACATGAAAGCCTCTGAGTGGGAGAGCTCTTCAGGAACTGATGCTTTAGCAAATGCCCCTTCTGTGTATCTCTTCTTTAGATTGTTGATTATGGGATATGTCTTCTTAGTCTTTGTATACTGTATAGCAAATTCTTTTTCAACAAATGTGATTAAAAAGGATGAAACATTAGTAATAGAAACTTAAACATCTAGGATTATCATAGATGTACACAATCCAGCATAAAGGCAGTGATTTTAAGTTTTTAGCGAAGATTTCTGGGTTTCCATTTGCTGCCACTGGAAGTTCTTAGGCTATGTTTTTCTGTTTTTACCTGCCATTTAGCCATTTATTAGATTGAAGGCATAGCTACCCCTGTATTTACTTTAGATGATGGGCTTAAATGGATTTCAGTGATCCTTTGTATATTAAAGAGATGCCTTGCTGTATACCTATTGTGATAGTATGAAACATATTAAACACTTTGTGACAATGTTAAGTATTCACATATTTTAATAAACATGTTTAATTAGTTAACATTAATTATTGTTTAGTAAAAGCTGTTGTCAGAAGTTTATTTAAAAATATTCTGCATTTTATTTTAAGGTTCTTGTAGTACAGGCTCTCAGGCCGGACAGACTGCAAAGTGCCATGGCTCTGTTCGCATGTAAAACTTTAGGTAAGTGCAGCACCTTTCAAGAGCTGGACCACGGATGCTGGATTCTAGTGGTTTGCTGGTCATCTTTGGTTCCCTTGCTTGTAGCTGCATTGATCAGGTCTATTCTTTATTGTCACGTCTCATATTCTCTGTGTATCTTCTTGCAGGACACCAGTCATATGGTATTAGGGGCCTGCTTTACTCAAGTGTAGTTAGCTAATTATATCTACAACAGTCTTATTTCCAAATGAGATCACGTTCTGAACTTCTGGAATTAGAACTTTTACATACTTTCTTTTGGGGGGGATACAATATGGACTCAGTTTTTTACAAGATGCCTCTCTTCTGCTTTCTCTACCAGAATATGCCTCACTTCTACCTCACTCTCTAACAGCATGTGTCCGAACACATGTGTGCACATAGTCACACACCACACACACACACGTACAGTGGTACCTGTGTTACAGACTTGATTCTGTCCATGATTCTGATCACAAAATTCATTCCACAATTCCGCTTGCAACCAAACTGCAAGCACAGTACATAGTATAAGTAGTATATAGCATATATGCGTGCAGTTTGGTTGCAACCAGAAGGTACCACTGTATTTTGAGTTGGCTTTAGGACTGGTCAGTTGATCTGTGATGGGCATGTAAATATGATTCTGCAGATACCCTGTGCTTTCCATTACTTGTGTGTGCAGACGAAGAGTCCCGGTTAATTAATTTCTGATAGAATGTTTGTCTGTCAGTGTTGTGGTTTGGGTCTAAATGTACCTCTAAAGCCTGATGTCTCCAGAGCATGGCAGGTAACCGGATTATGAGGGCGCTACAGCTAACTTGCTGTTCATGGGGTGGGTCCTGGGTCGGTGGGCTCATTTCCAGATCCGGAAAGCTGTGTCTCCCTCCCTGCCTCCTCCCCTCCCTGTCTGCTTCCTGCGGCCACGCGGCAAGCAGCTTCCTCCCCTGCGGGCTTGCCCACCGTGCCGCCTTTTGTGTGTGAGCCTGTAAACTGCACTGAAACCTCTGAAACCGTGAGCCGCAGTAGCCCTCTGCTCTTCAGACGGGGTGTCAGGTATTTGTCCCCGCTGGGAAGGCGACTGAGACAAGCAGGTGTCTCTTCTCATGTCTCATGTCGTGCAGAATGTTTATCTACCAGTCTCTCAGTTGCAAGTGAAGGATGCTCATGCTAAACTCACTTAAATGCAAAAGGGGAGTTTGCTGGTTTAAGTAACTATACTCAGAAAGAAGAACTAGAGCTGGCCTCTTGCCAGCTGATTTCATTTTCAAAGAGACAAAGAGAGTTTTTCTCTTTGTCTAACACTTGGAGTTTGACACTCTTTTTCTCCCCAACACAAATTTCTGTTGCCTTTTTCCTCTTTATTTTTCTCTGCCTCTCACACTGAGTTTTAGCCTCTTGGTCTGGTCCCTGCTTATAGGTTACTCTTAGTCTCAAGGGTTTATGCACATTCTGCTAGATCGGGCTGCTGTGGCCTCCTGGGTTACATTTCGTACGTCATGATGAGAGGGAAAGGAGAAATTTTCCTTTTCAGTTTCACCATCAAAAATCCTAAGGAAAGACTGATTTCTTCAGTTGGAGAACATGGCTGTTCTATAGCTTATCTCAGCCGAAATATGTGTACTTGCAATTTGTTTAAAAGAAGCCACCGAGAGGGAAAGAGCCGGTCCCAGAAGTGAGAGGAGGGCCTCTGGGTAACAGTAGGTGTTCACTATAGTCAGGTTACTAGAGCCTGTTTTAACCAATTTTTATATTTGAAATTGTTTGATAATTGCCCCACTAAATTTTAAAGCACATTTTTAGGGTCTTAACTTTTAGAAAGTTATAGTATATTACTTTTGAATGTATAGAATGAAGTAATTGAAACTTGTGTCTATTTTAAGAAATCCTTAGGACTGTACTTTATCTTGTAACTGGAATGTCTGACACTGTCCCAAGTTTGGATACACATGAGTCATAACTGTCTTCTAGGAATAGAAGAATATGAAAACCAACTCTCCCTGTATTTGCCACTGCTAGCAGTTGAGATATGGAAACCAACTATGCATTTACCACGTAAATTGGTTGAAGTGGCCTTTTACTAGCATTTTTAGGAAAGTAGAAACAATAACGTTCCTCACTTCCCATCTACAAATTGGCCGACTCCCCGCATTGGTCCCCACAAGCACTCTGCTTGCTTTTCTGTAGCCATTAATAACATTCTTGTCCCAAAGAACAGTGAATAGAATCCATTTCTGCCATTGTCATTGTCTCTTGCATCATGAATTTTACCTTTTTAGGGGCACATTTCTCACATCATACAAATATATTTTTGTATCATTTCTCTTAAAAAATTCTTCCCTAGCCACCAGCACAGCTTTTACTTTTGTAAAACAAACATCGGACATATGAGTGTAGCTAGAGACCAGAGTAATCACTTCCTCAAACCTTATCCTGTGTTGAGCTCACTCTATTGAGACCTCACACCCTGAAGTTCCACAAAATATTATATTCTTTCTCTTATATGAGGAAACTAAAATAAATGTAAAATATAGAGCAAAATAAAAGACAGTAGGCAACAGGAAGGTAGATCTTTTGTAGAAGGGAAAGGAACCAAGAGATGGTGGGGGGATGGAAAAGAAGAATGCAGATGTGGTATGTACATACGTAGACTCCCCGTGATGAGCGTAATCATTGTGTTCTGAAAACACGTGCTGATAAACAGAGATTGCTCTTAATACGGTCAGTGGTCTTCTGCGTTGCTGCACCCTGTTCTGCTTTTATCTTGATTTTCAACAATGTTCCACTTTTCCCTTCTGTAAATACCTTGTCCTCTCTTAATCATTATGCTGCATTTAACAACCCTTTTGAACTATTGGTTTTCTCTTTCCTTTTCTGACTCCTTAATTTTCTTCCCACAGCAGCCTTCCTTTGGGTTCCTTTTTGAAAATTATTATGTATTCTTCCTCTAGGTGATCTCACCCAACCCCTAGCTTTGAATAGCATCTTTAATCACCAACTCATACCTCTGTATTTCCACCCCAGAATTCTGGGTTCCGGCGTCCAGATGCTGATTTGATGTTTTCTTGTGAATGTCTAATGGACATTGCAGAGCGCTGTGATCACTGCAGAACCTGATTCCAGCTGTAAGACTAAGTTCATTCACTTTACTTCATGACTGTCAGCCTAAGTAAGCTGCCATCATCTGTCAATTACAGCACAGCTTTTACCTTTTGTCTTACTCTGCGTAAGATACCTGGAGTTCACTCACTTACACCTCCACGACTACCTACGACATTGTTCCAGCTCATGAGCGAGATTATTGCCATTCAGGCTTCTGTCCCTCTCATTTCCATTTTTCTTCATCACAGCAGCTGGAGTATCTTCTGAAGTATACAGTAGATCATGGCCCTTCTCGGCTCAAACTCCTTCTCTTGCTCAGCATCCTTGCCGGCCCTTATAGGACCTTCTGTCTTCTGTTCCCGTTTCCCTTCGGATCTCCTCTCCTGCCGTTCTCACACTCGCTCAATCCTTCCCCAGCATAATTCATTGTTTTTTGTTCTTCCTGGGATGCAGGTACATTTCTGGAATATCAGGGCCTTACACCTGCCTTTTTTCTTCTGATCTTTACCCAAGTTATCACCCTCGCTTTTCTGCTTGAATGTTACTTTTTCGGTGAAGATTTCTCACATTTTATATGAAATAGCATACTCACTCTTCTCTCTGTGTCCTCTATTACCTTATTTCCCTCTGTAATTTATCACTGTCTGACATCTTTATTTGTTCATTAGTTGCCTGTCACCCAAGCAGAACATATTCCACATGAAGGCCCAGACTTCATTTTGTTGTTATGTCTCCAGTGCTTTAAACAGCTTGTAGAATAGGTAGGCACGATAGATATTTGTGAAATCAAGGACTGTGTTCACCACTGGTTCTCCCTACTTCCTTTTTTTCTCCTTGGTTTTATTTATTTATTTATTTATTCTTTCCAGTACCGGGACTCAAACTCACGACGTCGCACTTGCCAGGCAGGCGCTGTGCCGCTGAGCTACATCCCCAGACCTCTCCTTGGTTTTAATCCCTTTCTCCAGAAGGCTGTGAAATGTTTTTGAAACTTAAACCAGATCTTTGTTGCATAAAATCTTCAAAGTCCTCTCAAAATACTTAGAATAAAATCCAGATTCCGTAGTCAGGGTTATAATCCCCACACAGGCTGTCCTTTCGCTGCGTCTCTGACCGCACCTTGTGCTGCTCTGGCTCGCCCTCTGTACTTCATGAGTTTTCCAGCCCTCGATCTCTATGCGCTCTGCTTTGTATGTTTCCTCTTCCTTTCATGGATGGCTCCTCTGTATCATTTAATTGTTAGCATAGAGTGTTACATTTTCAGATAAATTTTATGGGTCATTTAATCAGCTCTAACACATCAACCAGTTTTAAATTCTCGGCATCGTGCTTATGACTGTGTGGTATATTTCCAACATATCTATGCATTTTCCATCTGTTCCAGTAACCTGGACGAAAGTTTAGGTAAAATGAGACAATTTTCAGAGTGGTCCTTAAGAGTTTCTTTTTTTCCCACCTGCTTACTCTATAAAAATGTGCTTTGTGCTGCATTGCACATGACCTTTCTCATGATTTAGTAGTTTGACTCTCTACTGACTCTTTACAAGACTTACTAATGGTAGTATTTGATTCCCAGGTCATATGACATTTAAAGTTTAACAGTCTTACCTGAAAAACTCAGAATATTCAAATATTTAAGTGCTTTGAATGTTTAATGTACTTCTAAAATCATACTATTTCTAAGCAAAAAAAATTACATACACTATTGTATGGGTACATGGCTTTGTATTTGGTCAAGTAGTTTTATTAATAAAGTTTTTGATAAAATAAAATAGATTTGATTTTAAGTATAATTTCTTATTCATAGGGAAAAATTCCTAAGTTTCAGTAGCCCTTATAATCTATAAACTTTAAATTAATAGCTTATAAAAATGTATTTGTGAAAGCAGTTTTAATTTGAA